ACTTTTGTTTGCTAAACAGGGACTTGAAACGTTTTTATTTCCTAATGAGTCAGTATTGGACTTTATTTTATATCATACTATTGCAGCTTGAAATGGTATTTGTTTCTAACTTATGGAACGTGCGATTTACGTTGTTAAACAGAGAAAATGTCTTGTTTTCATGAGGCTTAACTTGTTTTTCTTTAGTTGCCCATGCCTGCTATTGTAAATCCATGAGAAGAACGAACCCGCTACCACCAGGACAGTTCTCAATGGCAGCCATTCAAATATATTTTGTGCTATGGGCTGGAATATATTTAAGGAAAGGTCATGTTTGGAAATGGTTGTGGAACGTCACATGGAGATGCTTTTTTATTTATATTTCCTTTTGTATTTCGAAAAACACATCTGTGCTTATAGCACCAAGCAGCTACAAGATTTGCTTATACTGCTACGAAACTCAATATCTGTTGCTCTTGAGCTGCTCCAAATCCCAACTTTTACTGCTCCAAAGCTGCTCCAAAGGGGCATCTTTGCTGCCCCAGACCTGCTGTAAAAGTCTGAAGCTTGCTTCCACCCCTGGATGTGATAAACACGAGAGAAATCAGTACAAACTCCTGTGTCATGGGAAAGGATACCGCAGCTTACAGACACAGCAGATTCGCATTTACTGGTGCAAAGGACCCGCAGAAATCCGCCGAGAACTCGCATCTCACGGGAACGAATGCCGCAAATCGCGGACGCAGCAGATGCAAGTTTTATGGTGCAATAAACACATAGGAATCCGCTACAAACTTGCCTGTCACGGGAACTGATATCGCGTGTGCAGATTTGCGGACAAAAAGGCAGGAATTCGCTACAAAGTCGTTTGTTACGGGAAGAAATACCGCAGATCGCGAACGCAGCAGAATTGTATTTCACGATGCAATATACACGCGGGACCCACTCGCGTGGAATGGAGATCGCACACGCAAATCGCGGAAAAAAACACGGGAATCTGCTAAAAGCTTTATGTCTTGGGAACGGATACCGCAGATTGCGGACGCAGCAGATTCGTATCTCACAGTGCAACATACACGTGGGAACAACTCGCGTGTTAAGGGAGCAGATGACGCGTGCGCGGATCGTGGACAAAAACGCGGGAACCCCCTGTAAACTCGCCTGTTAGACATGCCGGTAAAGCAAATTGCGTGGTTGATGCGATTCCCGTCGGACATTGCGTGACAACCGACGGAAATCGGGGGGTGGGCGGTGTTTCGGAATTTTTATGTTACAGATATTTAGCCAGAAAAACGGGATGGGCGATCTCTCGGGGGCGGGTGTTCTCACGGAACTTTGCGGTAGTAAAGTTCCGAGGTGAGAGAAATGAAATCGCATAATAGCCAACCCAAATTTCTGCATAAGACCGACCAAGTTGATTACGCCTGCCAGGTGGATATCTTTGTCATAAGTAAAGCTTTACTTCAGGCCATCAGTCAGTTGTTGACCCAGCCTGAGGGTAAAGTGGAGGCAACGCTTGCTTGACGTCCTGTCTTTCAAAACTTTGGGTGAAAGCATAAAAATCTGCCAAGGAGGCGTTGCTGCATTTTACGTCTCCATGAACTTCCGAGCAGTTGAAAGGAGGAACATACCCCACCATAACAGCGCTCTTTGGAACGTCCATAAAATATTTCCCCACCAATTCCACTCTGCTTGGCTAAAGGATCAGTTATCAGCGAGTGATTAGTTGGATATTTACGGATACTCCTATGAGACGAGTGATCACTTGGAATGTGTATAATAATGCATCAGAAGGACCTCCAATTTCGACAAAGTCTGCAAGTTTGTCAAACAAAATATTTGAAAGCAGTCTTGCTCGTTGCTATAGGGTGTCAGAGCAAGGGGAAGTGAAAGCTATTAGTAACAATAAAGTGGGCTTTTTTAATTCAGTTGAGTGGACCTGTGGCCTCTGTATATCAGCAGGGGAGAAATGTTATTGGTCGAGAAGCCTGCTAGGAAAACCGGACAGACGTCTCCCTTTAACTTCCCCCTTTCTCCCCAAAAGCTGGTTTTGGACTTCCTGTCCCCCCTTCCCGGTCCTCTTTCCCAGCTACGAACTTGGCGGTTCGCTGCCTGCAGAAATTAAAATGTGCGTGTTAAAAGTCGAAAGATGCGCTGTCTGTGTTCTGTCCTTCTATGTTTAATTATTTTGTAAGAATTTTCACCATACCAATGCACTTGCCTCAAAACAGTGTCTCAATAAGGCTGTGCAGATTTTTATTGCTTCAAAAGACAGCATTGATTGCCATTGCCAGCATTTATGCAGCAGAGACGTGTTTAAGGCTACCAAAGCGCACGAGACGCTGTTGCCTAATGCTGCAACATGGAAAAGGCAATGCTTAGCTGTGTGTGCAAGCAGACGCCGAAAGCGAAAGAAAGACGCCGAAAGGACTGGCGGCGTCATCTATTGCAGCATTTTGTAACTATTTACCGGTAGTATCGAAATGCTCTCCATTCATATGCACAAGCTTATGGGTTCATTTAGTTCGACGTGAGCGCGTTGGTGAAGTTAAATAAAAAACAGAAAGAATAAACATAGGGATGGACTGTCCATCCCTATGTTTATTCTTTCTTTTTTTTTTTTTTTTTTATGGGTTCAGTTTGGAATAAATCTGGAAAAGACCACAAAGTCTGGCCTTTGAGACGAGGCTTCCTTAAAACTTTCTTACCCCATTGATGATTGGTGGAACCTGCTTCTGCAGAAAAATGCTACTAAGGTGCCAACTGGGATGTGTAGAGCCCTGCATGGTCACGGCCTTATACCAAATACTTAGCTCAGCTCCAGGCTGGGCTCAGGGCAGTGGTGCGGCATGCTTTCTAAAGCGTTGAGTTACCACATTGATCCTTTAGGTTTGATGGAAATGAAAAAAACGAAGAATGCAAACTCTATTTAAAACAGAAAGTCTATAAAGAAGATGTCGTCTTTTACTCAGTAAGCCCAAAAGAGGATAAAAAGTGGTCCCTTTGCCATACTAGCATGGCAAAGGCATTGGTAATGCAGGATCTGATGTGTTAGTGCAGAGCAACCGTGTACTCGTGGAGAGACTGGATGGCGCAAAGCGGCTCTGTCGTGCAAGGTAAGCGCGTGAGCGCTCCTTGGATATGTTACTTGTGAATGCCATCCCTGGTTGCAGCGTAAATGCGATTTTACCGGAGCTTGTTGGAGTGTGGGACGCAGTAGATGGAGCGTGCGGAAAACAGAAGAATCGGATTGCGGCAGTGTCGAGCAAAGCTCTGGCAGCAGCTCGCGGCAAAAGAGAACCATACACTTGGAACTGCTTGAAGCCGTTGCAGAAAATGAGTCTGCTTTTTTCTTTTTCTGTCATTTTTTTTTTTCTCCAGGGAAGCTTAGGCTGCACTCATTTTGCGAAGCAGAGCGCCGCTGTATGTCTGAACACGGCATGTTTTACCCCCGCTATGGTGCCTGGAACGCGTCTCCGACTGGTCTGTTTACCGCGCCCAAAAAAGTGGTCCCTCGATTTTCGCCTGATGACGTCATAGAAGTGTCATGCTGACACCGGTCGCGACCCTGGTGGTGTTTCAGCAGCTGTGGTGGATATGGCAGATGCCTGTTCTGCTGCAGATCGCTCCCCACTGGGACAGTCCACGGAAGCTACGGCAGCCGAAAGTTGGGACGCCGTGACGACAGCGACACTCGCATTCGCTCGCGCTTTTCGCCAGCATTTCTACGGCCAACTGCCAGGATTGCGACAGTCAACAGCATGACACTCAGGCTTCTGTGACGTCATTTCTTGCCACTTGGGGACCACTTTTGATGTATGGGCAGCATGGGACGCTAAACACGCCAGTCGGAGACGCGTTCCAGGCACCATACTCCCGCTGGAGGTAACACGAAGGCACTCGAGGAAGAGGTTCGGCTGGCGCTGTTGTACAACCAGCGAATAGTCGAGTGCTGACTCGACTCCTCGCTCGTTTACTCGACTCCTCGCTTGTCGCTGGCACATGACCAGATGTGGTTAGGTGCCAGCCATATAACACATTCTGCGTTAAAGGAAAATCCAGAGCTGTAACACACAATTTTGTAACAAGCAAAATGTTGTTCCATTAACTTTCTTTATTCATCATATAAACCTTTATGCAGTCAGGGTGTGGATAGACAAGAACAGTGGTACGCTGCGATACTTACTGTAGTTTTACAAAAATATTCGTATTTGTGCTTTAATTCTTTTCTTCGTTTTTCTCTACACATTGCGTTCGAATGTGGATGACCAAGGCGACCTTTTCTTTCTGACTCGATGAGGCTTCATTTCTTGCAAAGAATATGGTACAATGAAGCCCAACTAGTCATATGTTCAATTCACAGCTGGCAGCATGGTACTGTTGAGAGTTTCAAAATTTTCATGAATAGCTCACTGAAATTGCTTTTGATTTTCTCTTTGTTATCCTTTTGTGACCCCGGAGCATTTATAGGCTATAAATAAATTGCATAAATCAGCTGTCTAATGGTAGCCCCATGTACTAAAAGTATCTCTAGCTCTGCTGCATTTAGTACACTAAGGCAATGGAAGTTTATGTTGCCCTCGGTAGGGGGTGTTTTAAAAGAGGAAGTGTTTTTGCTCCAAGTCATGTGTATCTGTATACATAGCATTGTAGTCGGTGGCACTGCCAGATTGTTTTAGGTACTTCAGTTCGAGAGTGATCTGTTTGCTTCCCTAAAATAATACAGTTATCCTATTACTGTGATCTGGAATGGCAGGCTAAGAAATGTTGATATTGGGAAAATATTATGACCCACAGGTGCTGTCTTTGCTGAAACTGAATGTGTCGGAAACAATTTTTTATCTCACTGCAGATTGTATTTTTGGGCTAACGTTATGTTTGTTGGACGTCACCATAGATATCGCTCACACATGAGGTTTTTCTTTCAAGATTTGCTAGATATTGACATTGTGAATACTCTTGCTGGTAATAATGTAAGGTCAAGAGGTGCTCCTGAGCCAATATCTGCTTCCCTCTGCTGGACTGCTGGATACTTTATGCAATTTATTTTATGCGTGCAACATCGTCCGGGTACCAGAATATTACTGCCTGGAAAAAGATAGAACATAAAAATCAAACACCCGTCAGAAATTCAACACCAATTTTCCGGACGTTGCACTTCCACATTAAAGGGAGATTGCTAGTGTTGTCTCGCAGCACTCTTCCTTCACATGCAACAACTTAGAAGCACAGTTTCAAAGCTTCACAGCCACACAAATGGCCGAATGGCAGGTTCTGTCCACACCCCTGAAATCGTCTTTGGCACGAAAATGGGCACTCCAACTCGACACAGTCACTGGAGTGGACACTAGTCGGTTCCACTGGTCCGCCGAACACTTTGTACAGCCAACACGTAACCATGCACTGTCCTGCCGTCGCCTAAATCGACGCGTGGCCGCTAGACCAGGCACCATCACTTAGGGAGCGAGGAATGAGCTCCTGCAGGTGCGGCTCAAGAGTAGCCTCACGAGGTCCATTCCTGTTCCGCTCCATGGCGTAGTAAAGTTTGTTTCGGATGCCCTGGTGGCCGCTAGTCCTTACGCCGAGGGTAGCCTCGGACACGGTCAGTATGCTCACTTCGTCGCGCTGCGGACGGTATGAGATGCTGCTGCTCCTCCGCATTCGAGAGTAGGGCTCACGCAGGCAGTGGTGCCGTGTCTGCAACACAAACACCGCTGCCAAGAAGGCAACCAGGACGAGGAATCCGCAGCCGACGACCACTGTTGACGTGATCGTTGCCTTGCTCAGGGTGACTGGACCCTGCTGTTGCTTCTCCGCAACGGCTGATGCAAAGAGCAGGTTCCTGGGAGCACCGAGGGGCATGGAAGATGCGTTCTCCGAAGTTGAATCTTGGGGCAGCAGGATCGTGGGCGAGGGTGGCTGCTGAGTGTGGTTCGCCTGCAATAATGTCGGCTCATCAGTCACTGCCGTTGAGTCAACTATTCCAGGCGTGCTATGCATTTCCGGCGCGCTCAGGTTTTGCCTGGAAGATAGGGTGATCGAGGTTGTGCTTGACATATTTAATATTGTTGGATTGTGCGTGAGGTGCTGCATGAGCGGTGTGCTTGCTGTGCTGATATCAGCACTTGCAGCACTTCCTTTGGTATGTGTGGTTCCTGAGGCCTCGGAGGCACTTGTTTCTGGCCTCGCACCCGTAATTTGCAGACTAGAGGGAACATGTTGTTCTGACGGGAGTGCCAAGGTCGTCGTGCTTCGATTTGTGTTTTCTGCCATCGTCAGCTCGAGTGCTGACGTTTCAGATGTGTCGTTTTGCGTAGCTGGTTCGTCAGTGAGCTGAATATTTTCGACTGCTGCCGTTGCCAGAGGTGTCGCTGTAGGTGCGATAGATCTTTCGGTAACGTTTGCAGGCTCTTGGGTACTGCTCTCCCGAAAGTCATCTTCTCCGAGCAGCATGATTGGTTTGAACTGAAGTGCAGGAGGTGATGCACAGCGGATGCTGTAGCTGCTGTAGAACTGGATGCTGGAGGTCTTGATCCACTGCGAGAACCATTGCACCTCGGGGCCACAGTCAAAGTTGTTTCCCCCCACCTTCAACACTCTTAACTTTGGAAAGAAGGACGGGAAATCGGGTCGTAGGCTGGAGAGTTTGTTGTGCATGAGATTGAGCTCCTGGATGTTTCTGAGACCATGTAGGGCCCTGGATGAGTTGATGACTTTTGCTACCAATTCAGCACTGTCATACATCTCAAGCTTAGTCAGATTCTTGAGGTCGTCGAAGACTGGTTCCTCAAAGTCTATACTTCGGGTTAGTCGGGACATCTGGAGTGTTTGCAATCTCTCGAGCCCCCGGAAGCACTGGGGCTCAAGCATCCTTATTGGATTTTGGGAAACATCAAGCAGCATGAGGCTGCTCAGGTTCCTGAGGGCTTCGCTGGAAAGAATCTCGATCTGGTTCGCTTGCAAGTCCAGTGTCTTGAGCTTGCTAAGGTCGCAGAAGGCGCAGTCTGCAATGGTCCTGATTTGGTTTCGTTGTAAGAACAACTGCTCCAGATTGGAGAGCCCTGGAAAGCTGTTAGGCGGCAGTTCCTCTATGGAGTTCTCCTCAATGTAGAGGGCAACCAGCATAGGCGGCAAGTTGAGCGGGATCCTTGTGAGCCGGTTCCCATTGAGCCACAGCCTCGCCAGATATTCCTGGCGCCCCAGCGCGTCATCTTCTACGTCCTCAATGGCGTTGTCGTCCAGTACGAGCAGCCCCAGGTGGGGGTAGCTGTCCAGGTCCCCCAAGTTGATACGGGTGATGTTATTCCGGCTCAGCCGGAGGTCGCGCACGTAGCGGGTGAGGCTCTGGGGCACTCGCTCCAGGCCGACGTGGGACGCGTCGATGTACTGGAGCCGGGAGCTGAAGAAGTCGAGGCGCGACAGGGACGTGAGCGGGTTGTTGCTGAGGATGAGGTGTGCCAGGTTAGCCAGGTACTGGAAGGCGCCCACCTCGAGGCTGGAGATGAGGTTGGAGTCCAGGTTGAGGTACTGAATGCGGTGCAGGCCCGTGAAGGTGTAGGTGCTCAACTGGGTGAGCAGGTTGCCCCGCAGGTTGAGCTGCTCCAGGTTTCCCAGGTCCTTTAGGGGGAAGGAGGGAGGCAGGGAAGGTTTCAGAGTGAGCCGCTCTTGGCGAGCAGACTTCATGCGCTAAACTAGTTTAAGTCAGTCAAATTAGTTGTGTGGATGTTTGGACATTGTAAGGCCTGTCTGGCTGAAAGGTTGTTTTTGCCACTCAGAGGCAGTTTTAATGCAGAGGATATGTGTACCTTATATTAATAGTCATTCCAGATGCCCAAATCTCCACAAGGCGATCTCGTGTGTTACAAACATTGTAAGGAATATGTTGTATATCAGTACACAGGGATGGTACCGCCGAATACTTGAGGTTTATTCTGGTCCGGCAATCAGCGACCACCTGGCTCTCGTGACACTAAAGAGAGTCTACACGCTCGTATCCCGTAGCCCGTGTGCCCCGATCGTCGTCTTTGTGCATTATGCGATCCAGACCGAAACCAGACAACACTTCTGCCCCTTAAAGGGGCGGTGCAACGATTTTTAGTGGCCAATTAACTGCGGAAATTAATCTGTGTCACTCATGGAACGAAGAACAGAAAGCCATATCATTTTGCTAGCGCTAGTTTTAATGTAAAAATGATGGAACAAATCGAAGGTCAAAGGGCCTCTCAACTCCACGTCGCCTTTCAAGTGACATTCTGGGGGATCACGTGGTTTCCCTTCCTTCCTCCGCGATTATCGACTTTTAAAGGATTAGCATCGTCGAAGGTCGCGACGAACGATCGACACAAAAGACTTTTCGCCACAGGGTGACGGTGAATGTAGCTGCGGAGAGGGACAGGTGTTTTTCACTTATGTGTATCCCCCAGAGTACGTCACACATCAGTTTCGTTAACATCCACAAGTGGCTGTGGATTGGCAAATATTTTATTTTCTTCATTGCAATTACGCGCTGGAATAGCAGTTTTTCGGGGCAAGGAAACGCGTTTTCAATCACTTGTGCTTAGATAAACAATATAAAAAATACAAATTGACAATTCTTTCAACACAAAAATCATTGCACGACCCCTTTGAAGGCCAACGTACAACCTCGGTTTTAGTGCTGGGAAGGTTATCCTCTTTTGCTCACCTCTCCTAAGCTGAGGGAAGCGAAATTGGGGCAAGGTAAAAAGTGGAGAGGATCTAGGAAAGAAGGAGGCGGGAAAAAGTGGAAAGCGCGAAGTGTTCGTCGGCTTTTAAGAAACTGCACTATTGGTGGTTCCCAATACTCTCGTTCTTCGCACAGTGTCTGAATCGCAGCGTGGTCAAAACAGACCTGTGTCCAGTGGAAATTAGCTCATCGAACAACGTTTTATCGACAGGTCGTTTCGCTGACTCTGTGATGTTTCATCTACGATTCGTTTCATCGAATGGCGCTCGTGTGGGTTTTTAGACGTTTGTCCACAGCTTAATTTGGCGCTAATCGTCCCGACCGCCGGTACGATAACCTAACTTGCCGAATCCTTGTCGGTTCCGACGAGGCTCGGTGTGAGCTCGATCCTGAGATTTAAGCTTCTAATCAGTACCCTCTGTGCAGAGCGGAACGAAGCAAGGGGTGAATGCGCATTGCACGGTCTGTTTGGAAGCTTAGCTTGCTAACCCCGTTTGTTTTAGAGCACGCAGATTTGTTTTTGCTGCGATGAAGCTACCTCAGCTGGTATACTTCCGAGCAAAATGAAGCGAGTAATCCAATGAAATCAACAGACGAAAAAGATTATTTTAGTGACGAAAGGTCACAAGGAGCTTGTTGTTGACAAGAAGTAGATTCGACGAAACATCTGACGCTGAAACCTTCTTCACGATAAGTTCAAGTTGTTGATAGTTGAAAAAAATAAACTAATGAATACATCTCCGGATGGGTTAATTTGAGAAAAGGCCAGAAAAATTAATAGCATACTCTGCTGTCTCGTTTACCTGGGATGAGGACAAGCATTATGTTTTGTTTTGTTTTTTTAAAAGAAAGGGATACAGTAGCTTTAAGCATCAGTGACATTTTCATATCACTGACGCTGTTGATTGCCTTTTCAGTTTAGCTACTTCGTGTCACAATTAATCTACCATAAATTAAAAGAAAAAAAGTCATTTGGGGCGGCACGGGCACGAGTATGTGACTTCATGAAGTGCCTTTCTGGCACGAATGTTCGTGAAAGCATTTGCGCTCTCGCGTGTGCGCCCTTTGTGCGGAACTTGTGAGATATAATGAACAACTCTTACCGCAAAGGCGCCGTCGACGTGCACCAGCCGGTTGGAGGACAGGTCGAGGTACTTGAGCTGCTGCAGTCCCCGGAAGCTGCCCGAAGTCAGGTTCTCGAGCAAGTTCTGGCTCAGGTCGAGCCTCTGCAGCAGCGCCAGGGTGCTCAGAGCGCCGTCCTCGACCCGCCTGGTCTGGCTCTGCTGTAACTTGAGCTCCCGGAGGGCCGCCACCCCCTCGAGGATGCGCGGCGCCAGCACGTCCACGGCGAAGTTGCGCAGCTCGAGGCGCTCGCTGGACCCGGGCAGGTCCTGGGGCACCCTCCACGTCCCGTCGCCCACGCAGCTCACGTACTGGCCCTCCGCGTCACAGAAGCAGGCGCTCGGGCAGTCGTTTCTCGTCGCGCCCCTCGACAGCTCCAGGGAGCAGAGCACCAGGACCAGCTGGGGCACGAGCAGTTCCGCCATCGGGACCATCGCAACAGACTGCTTCGTTGTTTTTGAGGCGGCTAGAAGGTCTTGCGAAAGGGACGGTGAGCGACTCGTGGTTTCTGGGCTCGAGTTGCGGGGTGCTTGGTCATGTTTTTCTTTTCACGCGAGGTCCTGGTCGCAGAGCGTGGCGTGGCACTTCGAGGGCTAGGTAGGAATTTGGTAGGGAATGGGTGTGCTCTGTATTCTACGGAGGAGGCTTCGACATGGCTTTGGGGTTGCGGCAACGGTTGCTCCCCTATCACGTTGTGCCTCGCATGGTGCGACGGAGGTCGCCTGAGGTGTGCCTACCCGTCGGGCGAAAAGTCCTGTCCTGGCGACGGCCTTGGTCTCTGGTACGCTCGTTATGCCGTTGATATTCCTACCCTGAAAAGTGAAGTACGAGGCAACGTTAACGACAAAGCAGGCTAGGAACCCGTGAGGGTAATTACGTACAAATAATGTACGACGTTGTGAAATATGACTACTCTGTTTTTGGAAGCACGAAACAAAAGTTTTCTGGGACAGCTAGACGTCAATGGAGCTACGTATTGGGGGTTTATAACCGCACCGCAGCTCGGAGCGCGTGGAGGGAAAACTGGTGCTGATAAACCCAGGGATCATGGGTTGAGTCAGCACCCCTGCCCGTTTTGATATGGATGAGCATCGTGGTGGCATGCTGTTTTGTATCACTACTGCATGGTGCACATTAACTCTTTCACGGTCGAGATTTTTTGTCTCAAAATATGTTTATTTAGGGAACATTTGTTCCCAAATATGTTTCCCAGTGATCAGGTAGTATAAAGAAAGGGTCAATGCACAGGTTTTTTTTCTTAGCCATCTTGCGAGCGCACTTGCAGTGCTTTCAGCTGTTCAGGCTTAGAATAATTGAATAGGAATATTTAAGGTGAAAAGCTGTCACATTTCTTCCTTTCGGTTTCATTTTGGCGCATCCGCTCTCCCAACGTTCCGGCCAATCCAGATTCTGAGTTTGAGGTAATTTATAAAACTTATTCATACGATGGTGACCTTTCATCCATTGAATTCAATTCTAACAAGCCTTAAAAGTCTTAACTGAAAGAGCCGGCACTCCAGTTGCCACTATCGCCAGAGCAGCCGATACGGGAAGCATACATCTCACGCGCATCACATGCTCATCATAGCCCCCTCAAAGCATGTGATGCGCGTGAGATGTATGCTTCCCGTATCGGCTGCTCTGGCGATAGTGGCAACTGCAGTGCCGGCTCTTTCAATTAAGACTTTTAAGGCTTGTTCGAATTGAAACACAATGCAAACATTACGTTCGCAGTTAGCCAAAGTCATAATAAATAGCAACACATTGTGCGGTGCACGCGGTTTTGTGATCAGACGGGCAGTTTCGCCTCCGTACATGTATGGCGGCGACCATCAAATGTGTAAAGACCACAGACTTGTGGTTGTACTGCACTGACTAAATTTCTCATCCACAGCTGAGACACCCAAGTGCTTAGTAAAACTAAAAACACACACACACACACACACACACACACACACACACACACACGCACGCACGCACACACGCACGCACGCACAGCACAGCTTTAAATAAAAAGCTACATATTTATTATTACAGGATCAAATGTCGCCACCAAGGGGTCGCTTGAGTGTCAGCATTATTGAGAATAATAAAGCGTGGAATTACCTGTAATAAATTAGTCCCTACGTTTTTAGAATTACAAGAAATTTGTGATTTCAACCTTCCAGTCATGATGAATACCGATGAGATCAATTATAGCGAGAGAGTTTACTTTGAATGTGAGTGACTTTGACAGATATATAGGGTACCGATTTTTCGGGGAATTTCTTGTGTATTTGAAAAACTTGTATTAGAAAACATGCAACGTTAACTTTAATACCACCAGTAGTGCGACGTGGAAAGCTCGGTGCTCTTCTCACATTGATCTACTGTGGAGATTTAATAGACTAACAATAAACTATAGTTGAAGAGGGCGGAGAAGACGGTCTCAAAACTCGGCTGCAATTTATGATAGATAATTCAATGTGAATAACTCCAAAACACAAATTCCGTAGTTAAAGCCGGGCAAAAGCCTTGTTCCAGCCTAAAAGCAACATTGACGTCGCCACTGGTATGAAGAAAGAACACTTGTCGCTTCATCAAATTGCAATATTTCTGCCTTGCTTTTTGAGCACACTATTTTGTGGCAAAGTGTTTGATGATTAAATTTCCTGGACGCCTCTGCGAGAGGTTCCTGGTGCAGATTATGGAATCGCAAGTCCACAAATCGCACTGTTCCTGCTAATCTTTCTTTTATTGTCGCTAACTTTCGAAGTATCTTATCTAAACAAGATGAACTTGAAAACATCACTTCCAGTAGCGAGCCTGACACCATTCTTGGCACCGAAACGTGGTTAACACCTGATATAACAATTGATGAACTCATCTTAAATCGATCAAATACTATTTTTTGGAAAGACGGAACCCTCGTGGGGGGTGTCGTTGTTGTTATCATTGCGGTCAAAAGAGCTATATCATGCTTCCAAATGGAATGTTTATCTGACCTCGAAGTGCTGTGGATTCGTGTCAAGTTTGATTACTGGAATGTCGTATTCAGTGTCTGTTACCGCCCGCCTCATGTCAGTCGAACTGAATTCAATATATCATTATATCATGTCATTGGATTTGTAACCGAAAATTTTCCCAATGATCACTGTTTCTTTGCTGGCGATTTTAACTATCCTGAAACAAACTGGTCTACATTACTGCCCCTTCCCAAGTATGCAAATTCTCGTCAGTGTACAGAGTTCCTTTCGATAATCAGTGTGTTTGAACTTCACCAGATGATAACCACAGCAACCCGTAATGATGCTATACTAGATTTATTTGTTACTACTAATCCAGAATGTGTAACGTCTATCAGTACTATGGAAAGTAAAAGTGACCATGCTCTGATTCATATTCAAACTTCACAAAAAGTTAACCGCTCCGCAAATATTCCTAAGCAAATATTTGTGTTTTCGCGTGCTAATATCGATGGAATGACGGCAGTCGTACTAAACTTCGAAAGATATTACATGTCATCTCATGACGAAAGAACCGCAAGTGAAAACTGGCTCCCTATTAAAAACATGTTCATAGAATTACTCCACACTTTTGTGCCCAAAACTGCTGTTCCATCTGACATCTCCTTGGTTTACCAACAGTCTAAAAGTTGTGTTAAACAGAAAGAGAAGACTATTCTTAAAAGCAAAAAGACTGGACGACTTCGCTGCCTTGGTCATCATGTCGCTACCATTCAAAGTTGTGTAAATCCGAAGTAAAAAAAGCAAACATTTTTTTCCCGTCGCCCTACCTAACATTCTTTCCACAGACCCCAAGGAGTTTTGGAAAATAGTTAATTCAAAAGAAACTACGACTAGCCCTTTGTTTGTAAACAATCAGAAGGGAAGCACTTAGTGATGACCAAACGGCCAATTCATTAAATTCATTCTTTTCCAGCGTCTTTACACATGAAATATTTCCACTGACATCTTACTGTCTATCTTATCAGAAATATGCTTGCCTCCACTCTTATTCATCCCGGAAGGAAATCCGCAAGGCAATTCGAAATCTGTCTTCTGATAGCGCCCCTGAAAACGATGGTATGTCGACCAAACTAGTAAAAATGACAGCACTCAGCATCAAAAATACTCAGCGCTCTTTTTCAACAAAGTCAAAATTCTGCTGATATACCAGCTGACTGGCGATTCACCCGAGTTCAACCCATTTTCAAGTCGGGCAACAAATCGAATCCATCAAACTACAGACCTACCTCACTCACCAGTGTGCCGTGTAAGCTCATGGAACACATTATTTATTCTAATATCTCATACCTGGATCATCAACACAACTTTTTTTCCCCCAACTAGCACGGTTTTAGAAAGCGCCACTCATGTACTAGTCAACTGTTTGAGTTTGTCACTGGATCTTCATTTTAATAGTCATTCCTCACTACAAACAGACGTTATATTTATAGACTTTGCCAAAGCACTCGATACTGTCCCCCACCAATGACTACTTGTAAAACTCTTACCTCCAGACAGTGTTGCACGGAACGGCGTTCCTGGAACGCGTTCCTTTTAAGAGGAACGAAGTAACGCCACCGTTCCATTTTGCATCGGTGGAACTGGAACGGGAACTCGTTACATTTTTACAGGAACAGAAAAAGGAACGGCGTTCCTTTTTTTTTTTGGTCCAGGTTTTTTTTAAAATTTCAATGAGGGAAGTTTTAAAAGTATAAAAACAGTATCTTTACCAAGAGCAGAATCTCGTTAGCTTCTTGGTTAATTATCTTAGGGTTTATTTTGTGTCGTCCTCGTTTAGTAACACTCGGGTGCAGAAAAGCTAGTGTATAATGCTTCTTTTTTTCAGTACCCAAGACTGCGGTACAAAAAAGCAAAACTTTTAGCAAAAGAAGATACACAAAAAATATGTTTCAAACTGGGCAAATTTCTTTGCTTCCACGATTCCTCATATACCTAGAAATATAGACAGACTATAGCTATCATTGAATTTTCACAGAGACCTAGAGTTACAACAAAATAATACTTTACCAGACATCGAACATACCTTTGAATCCCGAACATTGGTCACTTAAAAGATACACAAAAATTAACCTTTATTTGTTTTCCCCTAGTCTTCCACCTTCAAACTGCACGACTAATCCAACCTTCATGAAGAAGGAGTTGTAGTTTTCAAGACTGACCTTCTGAAGTCGTATCCCCTTCTTCCATTGATCGTTTTGCGGACATCAACATCGAGAAGCAACTGTTTTCAAGTTCGCACAAAAGATTTTGTTAGATCAAAACGCGTGAGGTTGTTGTAAAACGCTCGCGCAATATTGGGTAACAGTGTGTTTTGCTCGTTTGATTATGCCCACCACAAACATAAATACGGTTAAAAGCTAAGATTTTTAAAGGTGATTATATTAACAAATAAAACCCTGCTTTGCTTGCTTTCTTCTCCTGGTGCCTTTCCATCACGGCATTCAAATTCGTATGTTGCCATTTGATGGGATAGATTAAAAGACCACAACAAAAACTTTGTTCTATGTAACTAAATATAGTAATAAGCAAAATACAAATGTAATGTATATGTAACCATACGTTCCATTTTTTGAACAGTAACGGGAACGAGTTCCTTCTTCACATATGGAACTTGTAACGGGAACGCGTTCCAGAAATCAGAAGGAGCGAGGAACGAGCTTTTGTTCCTTTTTTTGAGGAACGTGTACAACACTGCCTCCAGATTAACCCTGTAGTAATAAAATGGATAGCTTCGTTTCTAACACAGTCAGTTTCGGTGAATGGTTCTTCATCTAACTCAGTCCTAGTATCTTCAGACATCCCTC